AATAATTTTCTTTTTATATCCTGATAAGACTTTGCAAATGGCAGGAATCTAGACCAACCCTAGAACGCATGACAAGTCTCTGAGAGTCATCAGAAGAAACCACATTGCAAATAAGTCCAGATACTTCTACCAAGTGGTAAATATGTTTTGATTCCAATTCACTTTATTTAAAAACTGGGGACTCAAAGGTTAGCCAACCAAAAATGTAAATGAGCTCGAAAAGCTGCTGGCTAACGAATTCTAGGAGCAACCTTACCAGGAAAAATGACCTGTGATCACACTGAGAAACAGCATATTTTCAGCTGGCCAGGCTCTCAAACACATTTTACTGGGGACTTGGAAAACAATCAAGGCACATAAATGGATAGCTGAGACATAATTTAGGTTTAGGAAACTTATAAAACCTTCTTACTTACAGGCAGATGTCAAAATTCCACAGGAGACAGAAGAATATACCATAAGAAAATGACAAGAACAAAAAGAAAGAGAAGACAGCCTCAAGTGTCTGAGAATGCAAGCAAATAAAGGCGTACCTTAACATTTTTATACAAAGAAAAACAATTTTTAGTAAAGTAGATTAACTCATCAACCTATGGCGTCACTAAAGAAAAATTTTCAATTGTTAAAAAAAAACAAACCCTCAAGCTCCGCTATTTATAAACAGAAAACACATAAGCATTTCAAAATGCCAACGCTTTTTCAAGCTCTCACTTCATCAGCAACCTCTGCCCCTCCACTCTCCCCTGTCACTTTCATGTGTTGCCACCAACTCTGATCTCACTCCCCTGGTTCCTTCCCCTTCTACTACAAAGGTGTCAGGGATTGCCTACACTCAAGGAGTCTTTCCTTGGATTAGCTCCTCATTAAACTAATCACGTACTCAGCCAACAAGTATTTATTATGTGTTTACTATTTTCTAAATACTATTCTACCAGTGACCATGCCAGACCAGACCCCTATTCTCATGGAGCATTGTAAGGGCATGGTGAGAAGCATCAGTGAGCGGTGGGCACCAAAACCATCAGCAAGCCGAGATATTCCTGATTGTGATTTGAAGGAAATAATTAGGGTATAGAAGTAGGTAGTGACTCAGAGGGGGATGAAGTAATAGGTTTAGTGGAAAGGGAAGTAAATATCTGAATGAGGCAGAGCTCATTATATTCGAACATCTGGGGACAGAGTGTTCCGTGCAAAGGAAACCAGTGCCCAGGCAAGAATGAGCATCAGGTCTTCAAGAAATGGAACGAACAGAGGGCTGGTAGGGAGAGCAGAGTCTAAGAGCAGGAAGCAAAACAGAAAGGTGAGGAGACAGATTTAAAAGGTAGGGTAGGACCAGCTATGCAAGGCCTTGTTTGGTAATTCATTCAATGAGTGAAGACAAAGATTTAAATTACAGGACGCTCAGTTTTCAAATTCCACTTTTTAAAGTGGGTCTTCACTATTATATGTGAAAATCATCTTAGGACCTTTTTTTTTTTTAAAGTCCCTATGCCCTCAAATTTTTTAAAACTTGAGCTACAACTCACACATAACATTCACCTGTTTAAATGTACAAGCCAGTGGTGGATAATCACAAAGTTGTGCAATGATCACAGATTTTCTTCACTCCAAAAAGAAACACCACATCCATGAGCAAATAGGTCACATGTCCCCCTCTCCACAGCCCTTGGCAAGCACTAATCTACTTTCTGTCTCTACGTATTTGCCAATCTGGACATTTCATGTAAAATGGAATTCTATAATATGT